CCGCGCCCCGGGTGGGTGGGGCCAGGAGAGGCGCTGGACCTGGGCCTCCCCCGCCCCAGAAGGTGCAGGGGCTGGGATGGGCTCCCCGAGCCGCAGGGGGCCTGGAGTGGGGGTGCCACTGGAAAGAGGTGGTGGCAGGAGGAGGGGTGGGCAGACTAGTGGCTAAAGCTCTCCGCCCCACGGATGCCCCAGCACCAGGAACAGCACTCACCCCAACAACCTGGAGGTGGGGCCAAAACTGACTAAACACACTTCCTCTACCGCCAGGAGAACCCGGGCTCAGCGTGGTGTCCCCGCGGGTGTAGCTATAGAAGGGGACGGTTTGCTTCCTGCCCCAGAATGGAGAGCTGAGTCGTGCCAGCTGCAGGGAAGGCCGGCCCCCTCCCAGCACCTGCCAGGTCGAGGGCCCGCTGGGCGAGGTCGGGGGTTACCTGTCGCTCCCGTTCCAGGCGCATTCAAACTTGTCGAAAATGCAGTCGTTCTCATACAGGGAACAGAGCTTGCTCCGAAGGTAATCGTGGACCTGGCGCGAGAAGGGGGCCAGGTGAGTCGGGGGCCCCTGGCAGTCCCGGCCCCTCATGGGGAGGGTCTCCCTGAGCAGCGAGGGGCTGTGCCCTCCGGTCTGAGGTCACTCCCGAGTCAGCCCTGCTCACCGGGAAGGGCCCACGGCCGGGCACATGGCCAACCCCTGAGCGGTGGCCAGAGAGGGGACAGGCACAGTGACAAAGGAGACCGAATCCTGGCTCTGCTCCCTCCAACCCCCCCACCCCCCCACCCGCGCTGTGTGATCCTGGACACCTGGCTTCGCCTCTCTGAGCCTTGCCTCCTTCATCCTTAAAGCGGCCACAGCACATTCCTCACGGGCTGTTCTGGGACCAAGTGGAGGACCCCACCTGGCGTCGGGTCGTGCCCTCTGAGGATCACAGTCACGTGAGCACGGCGGTGACCATCACGGAGAAAAGGGAAAGGTGCCCCGCCCTGCTCCAAGCACCGACCCCAGCTCATGGCAGATGCCTCCTCCTGCTCTCCCCGCACCTGCCACCCCCGCCCTGGCCATCTCCCCAGGCAGCCAGGGGGATCCCTTTGAAACTAAGCTGGGCTCCACCTCTGCTCACCCCCCCCCCAAGGCCCCCTGGGCTCCACCCATCACCTCTCTGACCTCAGGCTCTTCTTCGCTCCCCTTTGCTCACTGTTCCAGGCAGCTCCTCGACAATCTGTGACCATACTGACCGTGTCCCTGCCCAGGGCCTTTGCACCTGCTGTCCCTCCTCTGGGACCCCCTGCTCATGCCTTACTCCCCTCGGCTTCAGCACCCCACAAGCACACGTGGCTCACAGCGAGCCATGGTGCCGCAAGGAGCTGCGATGGTCCTTGCATGAATCCATCCAGGAAAGGAGAAGCTGAGGGAAGGGGTGATGGACCAGAATCACGCCGATGTCCCTGTGAGCATGTGGCTTCTAGAAGCATCCTGTCCTCTCCTCTCAACTTCGTGCCCCCCTCCCCAGGACACTTCCTGCCCCCAGGCCTTGCCAGGGAGGGCAGACAGGGCAGGGAGGTGCAGGGCACGGATGTGGGCTGACTCTGTCGCTGCCCAGCGGTGAGCAGTGCCCACATATCCTGACCTCTCAGAACCCCCTCTTCCCCTCTGCTAAAGGGGGCTGACAGCACCCCCTTCCCAGGGACAGTAAGGAAGAGAGGTGACAGATGTCGAGTGTGTGGGAACCCCTGTGCACCTTGGACCACTGTGAGGCTTTGGCGGGGCTGCTTGGGGTGTGTGGAGGGTGTTATCCTATTCACACCTGCATGAAATCCTACCATCCTATGAGGTCCAGCACAGTGTCACCTCCTCTAGGAAGCCTCCCTGATCTCCCAGCTAAAACCAAAACTGGAAACCACTTTGAAGCAACTTTATCGCAGTCCCATTTATCCTATTCACACCTGCATGAAATCCTACCATCCTAGCATCCTACAAGGTCCAGCCCAATGTCACCTCCTCCAGGAAGCCTCCCTGATCTCCCAGCTAAAGACAAAACTGGAAACCACTTTGAAGCAACTTTATCACAGTCCACATTTCTTTCAGGTCCCTGTTTTATTTTACCATCCCCTGAATTTTTTTTCCTACTCCTTAATCTATCCGGATGAATCCTAACAGAAAAATAATGAATAAAGACTTTCCGAGAAGGTGCCCAGGACTGAGGAAGGTAACACACTCCCATCTCCCCACCGCGCGCCCCAGGGATGCTCCCTGGAGAGGGCAAAGCTTGCCATCTTAACGCAGAACTGCAGGCGCGGCCTCCCCGGGCGGGAGGGAGGGATGCCATCGGCTGCCCAGGAATCATTTGCGCCCTCAAACTGGGCCCGGCCTGATGCTCCTCTTGTTGCCCAGGGCCCAGGACTGCAGGCCAGTCACAACCCTGCCTCGGGGCAGGGGCCGGCGGGCAGGGGCACAGAGCTCCCTGCCAGGCAGGGCTGGGCAGGCCTCCTCCCTCGGCCAAGCTACATCTGCTTATTTCCTGAGCCTCAGTGATTCACCTTTAAATGGGCGTGTGAAAGCCCCCCCATACGTGGGAAAGCCCCTCCGTGGGAGTTCCCAGCACAGGGGAGGTGGCGGGGGTCTCCACGCCACAGCCCACCTGGTAGGTCTCGATGGGCCTCGCCTCCATGTTCAGGTCCCAGACCTTGACCGTGAGATAGTCCCGGGTGAGCATGTACCGGCCGCTGTGGCTGAACTTCACGTCGGACACAGAGGAGATGATTTCTGAGAAGAAGGAGCGGTTACTGGGGTCCTCGGGTTCCTCAAAGACTGTGGAGGCAAAAAGAGACGCCCGTCACCGGCCGCTCCCGCCACGGCCTCGGAGCCACACACGGCTGTTCCCACCCTGTGCGCTCGCTGCGCGGTCCTTAGTCGCCCATCAAACCTACCGTCGGGCGCCCGCCCAGGACGGAGCCCGCAAAGAGGGGAGAACCAGCAATGTTTATCGAGCACCGATTCTGAGCCAGTCCGTGCCGAGCCCTTTCTCTGGATTACTGCATCTCACCCCCCATAAAACAGTATTTTTATTCCCACTTTATAGCCAAGCAAACGGAGGCACAGGCGGCTGAACACCCAGCCTGAGGTCTCGGAGCTGGAAGGAAGGGTGGAGACGGATTCTGAGCGAGCGGCACTCTACTGCCACCTAGTGGTGATGCTGCCTCCTGCACTGTGAGGGATCCGGACAACCTCCGGGCGCTGGACCACGTCCCCCCGCGGGTCACCTTCAGCCTCTCCGACCTCTGAATTCTGACTGGTCATCGCAGAGCCGTGCTTTGTGCCCCGGGAATAATAATTGCACCGACGCCTTTACTTCCGCAGGTGTAAACACCCGTCATTTTCTTTGAAATTTCTGATACGGAAATTTTTTTTACCAACCGACAGCAGAGTCCGCGGCACCCTCTCCCGTGTCAGTCCCATCGCACTCACTACTGGGTGTCTCCCGGGTGTTGTACGAGGATCGGGGTCTCCCCTCTCCCTGATGGACCCGCCAAGGGCATTTCATGGTCATTACTGCTGCCGAGAGTTTAAAGGCACCTCCCAGAGCCCTGTCACTGTCATGGGCTCGTGTCAGTCCCATCGCACTCACTACTGGGTGTCTCCCGGCACCTCCCAGAGCCCTGTCACTGTCATGGGCTCAATCCCCCTCTCCCTACCCCCCAGTATTTTACAGTTGGAGGCTCTGAACCCACAGAAATTGTACCCTACTTGTTTTTAACGACTGTGGGTGTCTCATGGTGTCACTGCTGTCACACACAGGGGCCGGGTGGGAAGTGCAGGAGGCTGCCCATTGTCTTCACTAGCAGAGGAGTGCAAACAAGGAGCCGGAACGCTGGTGAACCTTGAACCCACGGCAAGGGCCAGAGCTATGCACCGAGTGTCTAGTCCAGACAATGGGGGCTCAAGCTATTTCATGACCAAATAGTCTCAGAGTAAATCCCTCTAATATTTACTGCCCTTTAAGATAGTCTGTCTGCTATCGGAATTGCCTGCCTAAGAGCTAGATGTGTATCCAACATTGAGTAAAAGGCTGGCGAGGCCTGGGCACCGGTAGAAATCCTTTCTCTTGTATTTCCAAATTATTATTTCTTGTCTCATCTCTTTCATTTGCGTGCGGCCCCTCCTCCAGATCCTGAAGCCTAACCACTCGGGACGTGGGGGATCATGAACAGGGCCAGATGGGAAGCACATCCCCCCAATAGCCACAGTGGAGTGACGGGGCCCAGGGCACCCGCCCAGGCCCCAGGCACCTGCGCATCTATGTTAACACAGGCAAAGGCGAGGCCAGTGGCGGCCTCCTCTCAAGCCCACAACTCGATGGCGTCCCTCCTTGCTTAAACCCCGCATGCTCCCAGCACCCACAGGGCCAAGGTGCAGGCTCCTCATGGGGCTGACGAGCTCCTTCCCAATCGGGCCCCGGCTTCCTGCTCCAGCCTCAGACACAGATCCAACCTCCTGCAGCCGCGTCCAACCCTTTCCGGCCCGGGCCCCAGAGCCCGCAGCAGGGGAGGCAGCGAGGCCTGGAGGGCGCCACCTGAACGGCCCTCTCTCAGGGCCGCCTTGATGAGGGCCTCCTGCCATGACGCCGGGCCCTTGCCCGGCCACGTGCCAGGCAGCGGAGCAGAGCAAAGCTCTGTGTGACCCCTTGACCTCTCCGAGCGCCAGTCCGCTCACCTGGCGAACAGCATGATGGGGCCTCAGGAGGCAACGCCTGGGAGCGCCCTCCCCCCCCGCCCCCCTCGAGGGACTGGAGTGGCTGCTTAACAAAACCGTAACTATTTTTACAGTTACTTTTATTCGTGATTTCTCTCCCTGCAACTTCCTTTCCCATTTTTAGCCCCAGTCTTTCCTGCCAACTCCTATACATCCTTCTGAACCTCAACCCAAAAGCCCAGCTCTCTATGCATCTTGTCCAGATGCTCCAAAGAAATCAAATTTGCAGCCCCGTTGCCCACACAGCCCCAGGGTGTCCTCGTGTATGGTCACCTCCTGGGGCTGTGAGCTCCCCTGGGACCGGGGTCTGGCCTCTGTCATCCGTCATCTTGGCATCCACCCAGTGGGGAGCCGGGCCAGGCCACTCCTGCCACACTCCCCTCTGGCTGCTTTCCCGCCTGAGAAACCCAAGGCTCTCTGGTCTGTGCATCCCTCTGGATGCGGGCACCCCCCACCCGCCC